ATTGCTACAGATTGACAGTATTGAAGTGGAAGCCCATGACCAATTTCTTGATGAATGAAGATATGCTGTAAAAGTTTGTCCCAATGTTGAATGACAAATGTTCCACCGACTAGCAAGACAAATCCTGATAAGCACATACAAATATCCAGAAAATGACTGTTGCATGATTTTCCAGTCATCTAGTGAAGAGGTAAAAGACAGTAACAATAAATCACCCAAATGAACACGTGGACTGATATTAAACACTTAAACTCTAACCAACTTTATTTACCAAGCTATTATAAACAGATTACCTGAACTACCACATTGGGTCAGGTGATAAAAAAAGAACGTGCATTTTGTTGAGAATTTTCTCAGATTCTCATATATCCATGACAATCTGTGATAATCACAGTCCATATTTAGCAGGACTGCTTATCATTGATAGACTTACCTTGTCACACTGCCATGTCACTTATATAATACACAGGTTATTTGTGAATACTGATCTGAGCGCTAGATGTGAAGGTCAACTATTTATTTCATATTGCAGAACCCTTGATGTCAAGGTGGGTGAAAGCATAAATCTACAAGGAATTTTATTAATAAAATCTATGATCGTCAGTCAAAGAATAATTCCAAGATAATAAATACCAGCTCTCAACTACTGTAAACTCTTTTAATAGTGTAACGGGGAGCACGTGTTTCGTTTCGTGCAGACATTTTACTTCTGGGTGTTGGTCGTTAACTTGCGTTAGTAACTGTACCTTTCGTTAGTCGTGGATGCAGGAAATGTATTTCCTGCGAGGTTTGGGTATCATACTTTGATTCTGTTCCGTCGGTGGTTGAATTGTTTTCGCCGCCATTTTCTGTTGCAGCCAGGTTGTTTGGTATGAGCAAACCTGATTGGTGGAGGGCAGATTGGCTGGCCAATCGTGTCGAGGTTGTTACGTAAGACGTAGGGCAGCTGCAGGGTATTTAAGCGCGTAACACAAATTGTTCAGTGTCTGTATGATCGACGACCGATCACAGGTGAGGTTATCCACCGCAATATGTCCCGTGATGGGACAAAAAGATGTTCCGTGACAGAGCAATGAGTTCCGACTCCACTCCCTGTAAGGTTTCAGTGTATTTTTCGGCCAATAAAGAGAAATTGAATAGAAAAGATTGTATATTTTGGGGTAACTTTGTTAGTGGGGACGGCCGGGTGGATTTCAGCATAATGCCAGACAGTAGGATTTTCATATATTAGTGTAGGTGCAGTAGAGTGTAGGTAGGCTTTAGCGTTATTTCAAGAGGGTGGTTAAAGTGTAGTTGAGAGGGTTGGGAGAAAGTAGGTTAGGTTATTAATAAAATATTTTAAGTAGTTGTGTTTGTATATCTTTTGTTCTCAGGAATTTGTTAGATTTGATTTACTGTTTATATTGTTTTGTTGAGTTCTAATTTTTAATAAATTATGTCTTTATCTGAGAAATTTGTTGGTTTTTAATTGCTCCTCTGGATCCTTGAACTGGGAACGGAACGGCTTTGATTGAGAACACACAAAACACAAGGCAAAGCAACATGGTCATACGTAGTTAAGGCCGTTCCCGTTACAATAGCAAACATTATGACCTGTTGTTTTTAGTCCCAGTTTGACTACCCATCCAATATACAATCTGGTGCAGTCGAGAGTTTTTTAATTACTAGCTCTCTCCCCTTCATCAGGTAGACTGTTCCTCCAAAACTTATAAACAATTAGAGCTGTACCAGGTTCATACAATATTTATTCAGCTAATGACATGTTTGCTCCAAACCCTTCGACAAGACCACTTTTCGGCTGCTCCTAATGCAGTGCACTCCCAATTAGAGCTATGTGGGTGCATGGAAATAGAAATATGCCAGGAACCAAGCTCTCGCGCGAAGCCTATACCGAGATCTGATCGGGTTGTTTGTCCCTTCGGGAAGCGAAGAGGAAGTACCACATATCGCAAGCTCGATACACGCAAATCCGAGGTGGTATAGACCCCGAGCCCCAGACGACGACAACTCCCGACATGGCCAAAGTCTTCGAGGCCCTGCTGCAGAAGTGTTGCCCCATGTTGCTTTCCGACCGAGAGAAACAAATCCTGGAGCAATCGGGACACACGTTCTACGAACGCTACCAGATCCCAAAACAGTTTCTCGAACTCTTCTTGCTGTGCTTTCGCCCGCTAGTAGAAGCCGGCAAAATAGTCGATTTCGTATACATCTACCCACCCAACCATAGTGTTTCCCCCAGGCATATTTGGCAGGGCGCAGCGCCCTGCCCTTTTTATTTAGCGCCCTGCCCTTTTTATTTAGCGCCCTGCCCTTTTCATTTAGCGCTTTGCCCTTTTGAATCGCCGTATTATCTGCCCTTTGAAAAATCCAATATTTTCCGGATTTTAACAAAGGCAGGAGTTAGCTCCCTTCCCGGATGTTTTTGTTGTGCAATAAAACTACCTATTTAAGCCATGGCGTTTTCGGCTTTGTTCATTTGCATTCTGATTCACAATGCCAACCAAAGAAAGAACAAAGAGGAAAAGAGAAGAAGCTGTGAAGGCTGAAGTGAGGAAGTGTCGACGACTCCTTGATTTCTTCGCTACCAAACAGGTACGACTTGACAATGACTTCCGCCATTTTGAACCGATAAGCGCAAAATTAGAAAACATTTCCAGCAATAATCTAGGTTCATGTGATCTCTTTATAGCTAATTAAACATGCTCATTCTCTCTCTGTTATGTTTAAGAACATTTGCTGTAAATACTTTACGTCCATATCTTATTTTAGTCTTTTTGTGAGGAGAAAATAAAACGAATGAAACAAAGGGAAGCCATATCGGACATGATCACTTCAGATTATTCCGAAGTTTTTTTCTTTCCCTTTTCCATTTCAATGCTTGTCTCAAGTATTTAAAACACACCTGTGATTGTTATCCTCTCTAATATTACGATTGTGAATAGATTCTAATATGTTTTTTGTACTTTTAATTCTTCTTGTTTAGTCGACCTCGCTCTGAAAGAAATCTTTCGGAAGCACGTTTTTTATTTCGATTTTCTAGATATACACAAAACCCTCTCGCTTGCTATAGTAAATATTTGCTGGGTATATCTGTTGAAATTTTATTTACTCTTTGTAAATGTACGATTACCGAAGTAATAATTCCAATACCTAAATAGATACAGGAATCGAAGCCACTTCAAACATGTCTATTTCTGAACGTATCTAAGTGTATTTTTTGCACTGCATACATGTAGTTTTTCATATTCTAAAATATCGGTAGAGATACTAAATTATTTTTTCTTTGAAGTTCGTAGATTTTGTGGTGGATAAGGTGTCTACAATAAACAAAGGCAATTTTTACCTGTCTCCATATCTAGTCTTAAAGATTTTCAATACTAAAAATAATTGTTCCAAACTTTTGTGTATATTTATCTGATATTTTAAACTAATTTATCCTCAACTGAAATGTTTTTTCTGTGTGTGAAAAATTACTTTCATTGGGTATTTTTACTATTCTTATTTTCTTAATATTCAAAGGATGTTTTCTTATTACCAATTTACAAAATACAATAAATTTTGTCTGGAAATAAACTGACTTGTATGTGTATTTCAGGCCCGATGTAGAAGATTCCGAGCTTGTTAGCTATGACATCGACAAGCGGTTGTCATCCAGTGACCCAGCTCCTCAGAAGAAGAAAGATGCAGGTCACAAGCTTGTCTTCGATACCAAGTGGAAACAAGGTCGCCCATGGCTAAAATACGTTGAGGATGCGAACGAGGAGGGTGAAACAAGCTGCATGATGTTTTGTTCTGTTTGCACTAAGTGGAATGTGAAAGGACGAAATGGATCCATGGTTTGGACACAAGTTGGATGTCAAACCGTAAGACTGGACAAAATTACTTTGCATGAGAACTCTCAAATGCACCAGGAAGCAGTCAAACTTGAAAAGGATGATGCTGTGTCCATTCATGACATATTTCATAGTTATTCTGAGCAGGAAACGTCATCACTGGTAGATGCACAGAAAGTTTTGTTCTTTTTGATCAAGCACAATTTGCCACATACGACATTGTTTGGACCTCTCATAGACTTGTGTGCTGAACTTGGTGCTCCCAATATAGCCAAACTGAACCATGGAAAGAATGCCACGTGACACTGGACATAAAACAGTTCAGGAATTTCTTGAATGTCAGGCTGAGGTGGTAGAAGAACAAGTCCTACAGAAGATGAGAGAGAGCAATTCATTTGGCTTGATGCTTGACGAATACACAGATGTGTCAACCAGAAAACACCTTGCATTCGTGGGCCGTTATCTGGAAAATGGAGAGGCGAAACTTGCATTTCTCCAGGATGCTGAAATTCCTAATGGAACGGCAGACACTATTGTAGAGAATGTGAAGGACTATCTACACGAGACTGACTTGGACCAGAATAAAATGACCTGTTTTGCAAGTGATGGTCCAGCTGTTATGACAGGCAAAAGGAATGGAGTAGTTGCTCAACTGAAGAGAGACAATCCTGCTTTGGTTGATGTCCACTGTGTGAACCATAGACTGCAACTGGCTGTTAGTTCAGCCTTCAAATCAGTGACTGAAATCGAATCAGTTGATGAAATGCTAATGGGACTTTTTAAGTACTATCATTACAGTACTGTAAGATCCAAGAGCCTTGAGCAGATGCAGACATTGACCAGAGAAATGGAAAACACTGCAGATGACACAGACACATGTAATGTGACAATCAAAAAGGCTGTCCACACTCGATGGCTGAGTCATGAAAAAGCTGTTCATGCTGTCAGGAGAAGCTATCCTGCAATCCTTGCTGACCTTGAGAATGCAGTTGGTATGGGGAATGACAAGCGGGCTGGTGACAAACAGAGTGTGACTGCCGAAGGTCTGTACAAACAGCTCATGTCCTACCACAAGTTCTATTTCATCTTGCTTCTGTGTGACGTCTGTTCACTCCTGTCAGGATTGACAAAGATGTTTGAGAGGAGAGATCCAGACTTAAGTGTTGTTGAGCCTCAGATGAGAAGTTGCTTGGCATCTTTGAAAAAGATGAAGGACAAACCTGGTCCATACCTCTCCCGCGTGGATCAACTTGGAGAGCAGTATAACCTGGAGAAAAGTGATAGCAGGAGAACAGATGTCTCAAGGTCAAAGACTCTGTTCTTGGATAAACTGATAGAGAACCTGGAGGAGAGAATGAAGGTCACCCCCATCCTGACAAGCCTATCTGCACTGGATCTGAGGAAGGCTGGAGACTCTTCATTCCTGACATTCCATGGTGATGCTGAGGTATTGGAAATAAATTCACTCAAACTGATTTTGTAAAATATAACAACTTTGATATTGATAAAGGTAAATGTAAGAAATGAAAACCAACTTGTACTATTCAAAACTGGCTTTTGCACATTCATATATTGACATAATATTCACATTTTGCAGATTACAGAACTGGCTGAGCACTTTGACCTGGATGTTGATAAAACACAGCTTGAGTGGAGTCAGGTCAAGGAACTCTTTGCTGAGGAAGTTGACACATGTTCACCATCCACCATCTTGAAGACTCTGACAAGCCTCAAGCCCCAACTGGGAGACCTCTACCCAAACATTGTGAAGCTCCTGAGTATCCATGCTACAGTGATCCTTTCGACATCAGAGGTTGAGAGAGTCTTCTCCAGGGTAAAACTCATTGTGACAGACCATAGGAACAGGCTGAAAGTGAATAACTGCACCAAGCAACTTATGGTCAGCATGAATGCTAAGTCATCTACTGACATTGACTTGAGGACGTGTGTGGCCAAGTTCTTGGCACGAAAGAAGAGAAGAATATGAACAAATAATTTATGAACTTGCATCAACTGATGTCAGCCACAGTAAATTACTGAACCCTTAATTGTTGTGCCTTTTTGGTTTTCTGAATGCCCTTTTGAGTTTTAAAGTGCCCTTTTTTCTCTGAGTCTACCCTGCCCTTTCATTATCCTGGGGGAAACACTAAACCAATTTCGACCCCCGGCAGTTAAACTCCAAATCATTCTCGCCGTCAACTGCTATCCAGGCCCCAAGGACGGACACAACCGATGCACCGACTGCCTTGCCACTCGGAACTGCCTGCTCTCTTCGGACCCGACAACTCTACAGGCAAGTGCGGCGCCATCAACCACTGCGTCGACAGCAAGAAATGCGTTCTCTGGGAAAAGAAAGTGATAGACTACACACCCCAGGAGCGACTTCCCCTCGAGGTTCCAGAAGAGATCGTGGTCGACAGCTGTTTTGCAAATATAGAGAACCTATACGACAATGCCTGCGCTTTCTGGAGCATAGGGTACGCACTCCTCGCCAGCAAATTGGTGGACCATTGTCCGTGCAAGGAGAAAGAGTCTTGTATCTTCCGACAGCTATCGGGGGAAGCAGAGGTACCACAGGGACGGGCAATATTTGGCATACCCCATTGCCCAACTAGGGCGACCCAAGGATATGGAAGTAGCACCCCTCCGCAGCAGCCAACACAGAAAAGCCGCGGACGTCCCAGAAGGAGTCTACTTGTGCAAAAAGTTTGCTGTAGCGAGATACGAAGGGAAGAACCGGCTGTTGTTGCTACTCGATCCCCGACTGGGGAAACGATTCCAGTTTACGGCTACAAGATATGAGAAACGATTCGGGCCGCCGGTGGAATAGAACGCCTACGGTTGGTGCGGGAACCGTTCCTGTGCATGCTCGGCAAAATCTGCCGCTCCCCCATATCGAAAGAGAAAGACGATAGAGAAGTAGAATTGCTGCTTCCAGACCTTGGGCGAGAATAGGTTCTATGGGTCCTTCCAGACACCGCAGGGCTAGGGAGAGTAGACCCTCCGACAGCTCGCCTAGTATTTTTGCAGATGCAGTCACGGGCTGGGGGGTGCAAAGGACGAATGGAGTCGTTCACTTGTCTAGGCCGTTTTCGTATTCAAACTGCTTTTCGTGGAATTCATGGTACGGAAAGTAGGGCACACACCCTGACAGGGAAAAACAAACGCAAGGCCCGTATACCCTACTACAATATGTTTTTTCCCCAAAACGCTGCATTCCACACTCTACTCCATATGGAAGGGATCCCCACGTTTGGTCTTGGGTGTTTCTACTTTCGCGGTCGGTGTGTGGAGGGGGCGCACGAAGGGGGAAACTGGTTTGCTGTGCTTCCAGGTCTTGTAGACGACCTTCCAGAGAAAAACAGCGGCTAGCGAAAGGTAGGTCCACCTTTGGGCTGTTTCTAGCTTCTGCCGCACCTTCTGGATATCCAGACGGGTCTCTTCTTGCTCCTCCTCGACGTTTTCCATTTCCTCCCGGAGTTCTTCCTTGTCGTCCTTGTCCAGCATCGACAAGATGTCGACCAACAAATTCGTGGTTTGCTCCACACGAGCCGGCAACGTATTCGTGGTTTGCTCCACACGAGCCAACATCGCCGCTGTTTGCTCCACACGAGCCTCTAGCCTCCCCAAGCGGTCGTAGAAGTCCTGGATGGTGGGCACAGTCGGTGGTTCTGCAGCAGGCAATACGATGCTGGTAGACGGCTCGCTGGCGAGATGGCCGCAGGCAATGCGTCTGTGCTGGGGGTCGACACTGGATTTGGAGCTTTCTCTCCAGTGGTGTTGGTAGACGGTTCCATGGCCGTATTCCATATTTTGCGTAGTCGATTGGAACCGATACCGAATCGTTGTCTCGTTTCTTGTGCTGGGACTCTTCCATGCATCTTGCTTAGGAAATGCTTAGCAATGCTTAAGCGACATAGACATAAACACTGTGATGGGTCCACCATTGGCAGCTCAATGAAACTCTGGTACTTTAATATCGGGAGTCTCACACACACCGGGGCCGAGAAAAGTTCAGCATTTCTTCTTCAGTATATTTACAGAAACTATTTTGCCACCCAGCCTGTAGCACGAACAAATTCAATGGGCGACTTCTGTCTTCTCCGGAACTGATCCTACAAACGTCGGAGGCGAGCATCTAGCTCTCTGGACATCCTTTTCCTGGGTGCTGCAGGAGCTCTATGGTCCAGCTGGGCAATCCGTCTCCTGTTCATTGCCTCTATGCTCTTAGTCTTGTGAACAGGGTACTCAAAGTCTACCTGACTAGTCAGTGGTTGAGGAGGTCTGCCAGTCGATTGTTGAACAGCATCCTTCAGCACACGAAAAAGTCTACAGTGAGTAGCTTGCTGACGATCAGGCATAAGACAGAAAGCTATGGGAATCACAGTATTGCCAGTAAGAGCGTGAATCACGTACAACTGATGCCAAAGTCTTGGACATGAATAAAAAGTTCCATCCGTGAAGAGGACATCAGGTTGCTGTAAGGTTGAGAGTGCTTGCTCTGTAGAAAACACGTGCAACTTGTCATCATCTCCATCTTCAACAGCAAGAAAGCGACATCCATCATATGTAGTAGTCCATCTTCCTTCTAGGGTGACACCTCTACGATGTTCAGGCAGTGCAGGAGTGGTATTCCTTCTATGTCTATAGAATGATGATTTCACTCTGGACAGAGGTTGTGCATCACCAGCATCAGCAACAGGCAGTTGGCAGAGCTCTTCATTATAGATCTGGGCCCCGTTTCACGAAGCTCTAGTAAGCCTAAGTTCTCGTAACTTTTCTCGTAACGTCGAACCTCCTATGTTACAGTATAGGAGGTATGAATGCTATAAGGAAAGTTACGAGATCTTAGGCTTACGACAGCTTTGTGAAAAGGGGCCCTGGGTCATTGGAGTTGACTCATCCCTGGATCTTTTTCTCAGTGTGCTCATGAGTCTGACTGTGGCTGGGTTGTCAGGCCCGTGATTGTGCTTCCCGGTAACTGTTCTGTTCTTCCAGTAGTAGCCACATTACCATCTCTCAGATACAACAAACTCTGCTTTCTGAACACCAGCCATAGCTGACACTTAATCTCTGACTGGGTCTCACATACTTGCTGATAAAGGTGACAGCTAAAACATTTTAATTTTAATCAGTGTAGAGGGATTATCTTAGCTTGGTCTGTAATTGGATTATGTCCAATTTTCAAAACAACCTGCACTAAAAGTACGAAAGGTTTTAATCTGAGTAGACGAGTTATCTCCAAATATCAAAAGAATTATGTTCAGTTTTCAAAACAAATGAAAGTATGATGATTATCTGTACTTTTAATCAGAGTAGAGGGATTATCTTGGCTTGGGTTCTAATGTGGAGGGATTATGTCCAAATTTCAAAACAAACAATGAATGATCACAAGATGGGATGCTCCATTATATGTTTATGTTCATGTGTAGTCAAACTGGGAGGATACCGTTTTAGTTAGAGTGTTTATATAGAACTATGGTCATGTTTACCAGTTTGGTAAAACACAAGCACTAGTGCGGTGATGGTGGACCACGGGAGAGATCTGGGCTATAAATCCTGGCAAAGCTAAGGGATGTAACTCTGCACCAAGAGGTACAGTAACATAGACCACATGGCATCCTGGGTATTGATACACTGATATACACTGATTTACACACCTCACACATGTGAATTATAAGAAGGTAGAATTAGGTTGTGCATCTGTTACAGGTATTGAGAAAAACATGAAGGATTTAACATTATGAACCACACAGAAACACCTGCTACCAAAATGAAAAAGAGAATACATATTCAGAAAATGATGAATGTGCAACGTTAGCAAAAGTAATGGTACTGATGATTAAAAGAGGGTCTGGTTTAAGCAAACTATAGTGGAAGCTGTCTAAACTGGCACTTATTGGGACTGAAGAAATAACTCGGTTTAGAAAGTGTGCCGGATTGTAGAGCTGACACGGTTACCTACGACTAGAACTCAACCAGGAGATATAACTTGTATCTGACTTTAAATGCCTGAATCATACCTTGGTCAAGAGGTTGCAACATGGACATGGTGTTTGCAGGCAAAAACTTGAGCGTAATATTGCTGAGTGACACTTTGTGGGTGTGGCTTTGATCGTTATACATAAACAGTAAGATCTTCCGCCTAACAACTCACTAATTACATGTACAAGTATACCCATACTGAACTAAGATTAAATTTTCTTTGTCAGCCCCCATGTAGTTTCAACGCAGGATTAATTGGTGACAATACACATCCGGCAGACTCCTTGCCACGTGCCGGATTAGCGAACGCTGATTACTGTATAAAAACATTTTCAGGTGGCTAATTTCATGGCGAGACCGGAATTGACAGCTGCCGGATTGCAGAGCTTTCAAATGATGATAAATGTACTAGCCATGGACTATGCCTGTGTTGACAATTTGCCGGATTTGACAGCTGCCGGTTTTGACAGCTTCCACTGTAGTATTTTCTATATTGTCACATAGCAATGTTTAAGTTTATCGCTCTTGCTCTGACTCAGTTGCAACCTTACACTAAAAATCAAAGGGTAACTTCTGATAATCCCAAAGTTAATCATGTCCTACAAAAGTAACAGGCACTGAATGACAATACATTTTTCCGCAATAACTTCAAGGGCTTTGAAGGATTGTTTCATCTCTTCCTTGACTGTTTCATGACATGAGTTAAAACAATTCCACCTGAAGGTTGGAAAAAGTCCACTGAGGCATAATATCTAATGTCAGTAATCTTTGTGTAGTAGACATTAGAAAATCACTGACAGAGGCCAACTGATGACTAAACTGTAAGAAGTAGTTTCGATGAGACTGCTTATATAGAATGATAGAGAATTAACGGATCAACTTTGAAGCAAGGGGAGAGTGAGTGAGTGAGTTTATTCCTGCTATATGGTGGCGTTCTGTAAATAATCAAGTCGGGACCAGACAATCAAGTGATCAACAGCATGAGCATCGATCTGCGCTATTGGGAACCGATGACATGTGTCAACCAAGCCAGCGAGCCTGACCACCCTATCCTGTTAGTCATCTCATACGACAAGCATAGGTTACTGAAGATCAATATTCTAACCCGGACCTTCACGGGTCAGCAAGGGGAGAAAAGGTAGTGGGTAGATACATTTGGGAAGCAGGACACATGCATATTTAGTTACACAATACTGGTATATATTGATCTCTACATTCTGGTATACACAAGATTTTTAGGCACAGTATATTTACTATCAGTAAAGGCAAGTGAATTGATACAAGGATCATTTTGACACCAACTGTTTAAAAAAGCAAAGGACAACATGGATAACTGAAGCCAAAAGGGAAGACAAACAAGAAAGTTAGATACACATACCACTGGTGTTATTCATTGTTGTTGTTGGCAATGTTGTTGTTTCTGAATAATAATAATAATGGAACTTCCAGTGCATTTATATCTTCCATCAAATAGATAATCATAGTGCAACACAAAGACTAAAATACAGAGTGGGCCTGGGAAACTGGGAAGCTGTTTCAAGAGAATTTCAGAGCTCAGTTGCCGTGTAGGCAAATATTCTGTGACCAATTTTGCTTTAGATTGCTCTGATCTGGCTTCTGGTATATAATGAATACAAATAGAGAAAAAGTAAGTTTTTTATCAACATATTGACCAGAAATGCAAAATCTTGCCACGTGAAAATACACAAGGACATGTGTCAGATTTTACACAACTTACAGAAAATCTGTGCATCAAGGATTGAAAAGGATAAAAAATAACAGGCAAATGTGCTGGCATATTTTTTATGGGAAAAGCTCAAACATGTTTTCATGGTATCATCAGTAGTAAGTTTAGTTGCACAAGTCCTTAAGAGACAGATTCATTCTTCTTCTCGAAAAGGCATCATACTAAAGAATTATCACTCTATGGCAAATCAGCCATTTCTGTTATAAGTACTAAGTTGTGCTGAACTCGTCGGGACCAAGGGAAAAGTTCAACTAATCCATGTGTTCGACACATATGTCAGCATAGAAAGGACCAAGCACCAACACGACCAAAGTACAGCATCATTTTTCTACAGTAGACTGTATATATACGAACAATACATATTTGCCATAAATGTTTACTGCAGTACTGATCATTAAATGTAAATCACTTTATTTGTCATGACAAATAATTATGCAAACAAAAAGATAAGAATACATGTAATTTAACAAACTCACAAGCAACCCCATATGACATTTATCAGTCAATATAAAAACTTGTATTGTTCACACAAACAAAATCGGACGGTGACGTGACAACAGCATGCGCCATTGTGTGTTTAGAGATTTCCTGTCGGTCTGCAATCAACATGTCATTGGTAACAAGCTAATTAATCAAGTTGGTAAGTGTGATGACAATGTATGTATAGATGTGTAGTTAAAATGTAATTTTTATAATAAAATTGACATTTTATACTTATCCTGACTCACACTTAATGCTTTATCTCCCTTTCCCTCCGAATGTTGAGTGGAAACCTGTGTCCCTATGTTCCCAAGAAAATTAAAAAAACTTACTCACCCAGCAGGGCCCCTTTGCCTCCTTTCCTGCCATTTGTCCCATGTGACCGGCGGACATATTGTCGCTCTCTTCGAAATCTGCCCCCACTACAGCTTGCAGGGAGGCCAGATGGTGGTGAGAAGGTACCTCAGCGTATGAGTCAGGATAAGTATAAAACATCAATTTTATCATAAAAATTACATATTTTTCCTTATCCTGACTTATTGCTTGAATCCGACGTACAGGTGGTGGGTCAGCCACCTATTTGGATTTCCTGTGACTGCTTGATCAATCCGAGTCTGATCATATACCCAGAGAGGACGAAACTGGTGGATACCATATACATCTTCTGTGGAGATATCTCTGAGATAATTGCTGGTGATGAACTGCTGGATGATCCCTGGAGTTGAATCTAGGGCTTGTATTTCTGACATTCTAGCAGCTGTAGCTAAGGCGAGTAGGAATAGCGTCTTCAGCAAGTTAGCAACTCAAAATTAGCTTCCATCAGAAGCTCACTGGTAAGATGTTACAGAACTACGTTGAGAAACTCTTCCATTTGTCATCATAAAGATTCCAAGTTTCCTGAGTGCTAAGGTAACTGCCTTAGCTGCTCTAGTAGAATACCCTCGTCTGGTGAGGCAGAGCGGAATAGGCTCTATGCATATAATTGGAATCCTTGTGGATTGACATAAGGCCTTGTCTGTGGATGTATTAGTATACTCAAAGCCATTAAAAACATAATTTCCAATTCAAAGCTTATATACTGTGTCAACGCGTGGTATATGGTTGACAGGGGAATTAGCTCGGAATTAAGACGAATTACACATATTATATATACAATTACGAATTATATACAGTTCTTGACAAAAATGGACAGGTCATGACTCAACAATTGACAGATAGAAAAACAATAGCACTTCCTTGACCAGTTGATGTGATGGCAGACACTGCCAAACTGTATGACCAATAAAGGTTATAAATGTTGTATACAGTAATTAATTGCCTGACAAGTCAATGTACAATGCGGAAGTGACATAGAATACAGATTAGCATCATATAAATAATTACAATAAAGTCTCACATGTCTTGAGTACATAGTTTTTACTTTTTAAATATTTGGACGATGGCTGTCCTGATTTAGTCACTATAACAACTGTAACAAATTGCATCAAAGACGCATATAACAAGGAAAAATCAATTTGATCAATTTGGATAATGTCATGGAAGAATCCATTACAAAGGCACAAATCAGGAATGTCTGAGAGTCACAGAACAGAGCAGGGATCAGCAAGATTCAATATCGGGTATGTCCACCCTGACACATGCCTGAAGCCGCCGAAGCATGGACTGACACAAATGTCTCAAAACACACTGTGGGATTGCTTGCCAATGATGTTGAAGTGCCTGTGGCAACTCTGCAACAGTTCGTGGCGGCAGGAGTTGAGTTTGAACCCGTAGTCCAAGTTCATCCCACAGGTGTTCAATCGGTCTTGTCTGGAGACATTGCAAGCCAATCCATAACACGGACCCGCTGATTTTGCAGAAAGTCTCTCGTTAACCTTGCAGTGTTAGACCACCTGTTCACAGACGCCATGTCGAGCCAGCAAAGGGAGTATCACTGGACGAAGGACATTGTCAACATAACATTGAGCGTTTAGGTTGCCTTGAACCACCAACAACTGTTACCGGAAGTTGATGTTGATAGCAACCCATACCATGATGCCCCCACCCCAAAAACGATCCCTTTCCTGAACGCTGTTACGAGCAAAACGTTCACCACGATGTCGTTTAATGGAGTGAAGTTCATCAGGAAAACTGAGGTTGAATCGGAGAAGATGACATCACGCCATGGAGTGTTACCCAGGTACCCAGGTACCGATGCAGTAAAATCTTACCTCGGTAAGGTCAACAAAAGAATATACCAAAAGCAGCCAGGCGTCTTCGAACTGTTTGTGGGCTGATACAACATTGCCATGTCCCAACTGTTCCCCTTGCTGTATCAACAACTGTCTTGAACCTGTCTTGAACTACTCCAGTGGTGTTGAAATGGTGTCTGAGCAATAGTGGATGGATGGATGAACATGATAGCATCGTGCAACCGCCACTTGTGAAGCACCCTGATTCAGCATTCCAATAGCCTGGTTCCTGTTGTCTTGCATTAGACGTGGCATTTTTCCCAAGTGATGAATTTTCGATTTTGGCGCCGTCTTTAAAGGGCCAGAGTACAGGGAATGCATGTGCAAAACATTTGACATGGGACTGCTGAAACTTGTGGATACAGCCAAATGTTGCATTTTGAACAATAAAGTTCATTACTGAGAACTGATCTTGGATTCAAACTCAGAACTCCACAAGAAGGGACCCAGCACACGTGGTGTCTATGTGCCTTTGGGGGAAAAGTCCATGAAAATCTTTACCAGAAATATTACATAAATTAGTAATTGTGTTTTTCATGGCTTTGAGTACAGATTCGGCCAGTTTGGTAGTTGAATTATTGGTTCTCCTGTGAGCTGTATTAGGTCTGGGAACAAAGTTCTCGAAGTCCAGTAGGGCGCGACCAAAAGCAGTTGGAGGACTTTGGTCTGAACGATCTTGTGTAGAACTTTCGGTAGTAGAACAGGTGGTATAAACACATAAGTATCTAGTCCTTCTCACAGAATGACTAGAGCATCCAGGGACCAGGCTAGTGGATCTGGAACTGGTGAGACGAATGTCTTTATTTGATGATTGAAGCGAGTCGGAAAGAGATCTATGAAAGGACATCCGTGATCCTTTGCTAGTAGTTGAAATGCTTCAGGATGCAGCATCCATTCTGTGTGAGATGGTGTGACTGGCCGGGGATAATGTGTCGGCTATGACGTTGGTTGCTCCTGGGATATGAAAAGTTTCTATCCTCAGGTTGAGCCTGTCTACTAGGTTGAATAGACGGAGATGCCAATCTCGTTATGCAACCCAGTGAGCTTGCAGACATGTGATATGCAAATCAGGCCTGCGCAGAGCGTTGACTTCTGTCATGGATTTATCAGCTCCTAAGCATGTGATGTCACTGGTTGGCCTCCATGAAATATGGTGCAATAGCTGGTTGAGTAAAAGCGTGTGTAAGAATTACGCCGCTTTACATAATCCTCCAAAACCACTTGAATAAGGGTTGCTCCAGGAGTAAAGTTCTTGACGGATTGTTTATCCATACAGTTCATAGTCTGTACCGGCTTACTGGTCCTTAAAATCCTATGACCTCCTTGATGCATGGTATGAAGAGCCAACAAATACGATGTGAGCAGCCCATGGATGCGTAAAGGTGGCTTAATATAGAGGTCAGGCCACTGGTACGAAGATAGTAGACCTTGTTAATGCATTAACGTGAGTCCCGCTGAGGTCAATGCTAAGTGATTCAAAATGAATTCTTGGTCACGTTCCTGTGCCGCCATAGTTGATAAGAGCATACATTCTCTGTCCGTAAGTTGGTTTGAAGTGCATTAAGCATATTTCCATTTATGGTCTTTGACATCACTTGCTGTGTCTAACTGGGCTAACTTCTTGTCTTCTACTCTGTAAGTTCGAGACTTTGAATTGCTCAACAGTGAGTAAATTCCCATCCACTTATGGTGCCTTAAGAATGCTCAAAGTGAGGCGTAGGCGAAACTTCCGAGTCACTCATCAATGAGTAATCTTTGTCTACTTCAAGCACTTTGCTTTCCCGAAAACTGACTTGAATGCATCTGCCACTTGAGTTAGTCTGATGACGACGAGTTATGCTTAGGAGGTGAGATAGGGAGCCGATCAGTAACCCACCAGTTCAGAGTCCGTGTAAATTGTTGAATTCAGGTTGTCTTGCAGCATATTGTCATCCAAAACTAGTCGTTCTTCATGGATAGGTGAGAGAAGAAGCAAGAGTCGACTGATTAATAGGCTAATCCAAATCCACCTTCAACAGCTGTTGTTGAATAGCCATCATAACTTGTCGAGTTGATATTTGTGATGAAGTCCGATTGTGATTGACTGAATGCTTGTGGATACATTCCTGGCTTCTGGTAGGCTTAAACGTAGGTTGGATTAGGTTGGTTTGCAAAGGCCATAGATGGGTTCGTAAAAGCAGATGTCCAGCAATGTTCGGGAACGGAGTAGCTGTATGTGTAGGCGGGTTCACCGATGTCTGCTGAAGGCGTCCTGGTAGAAGACACAGCAGACGGGTTTGCGAAGGTAGCTAGCTGATGCATCTCAGATGAGAGGAGGAGCGTTCACAAACGTAGAAAGGTGTAGAGCTGAAAGGTCCGAGAACCCTGACGTCTGCGTAGATCCCACATAGGTAGTAGTGAGGGAACCTGGGTTCCTTATGTTCGGATGAGTAGACTGCTGCGGCTGCTGCGAAGGTTTCGAGAACATAGTTCTCAACCCAGTTGCATTCTCGAAGGTAGATGTCTGCAGTGCCTTTCTCACAGTGACCTCGGGTTCGAGAACTGGAGGGTGTGAAAAGGATAGATCATCTGCTTCATCGAGACCTTCGCGGAGGTCTGGGTATTTTCAGTGGCAGTAGTAGATCTTGATGATGATTTCAATGACGACTTCTTGTGGGACGTCTTCTTCATTTTAGCCAGCTTTTGTAGACTAGAACCAGCCTCAGGAGCTTTCCTCTTGAGGCGGGACTGCGACACTACCTCACTCTGAGAGGCAGAAACCGGAGAATCCTGTGCAAAGAATTCCAATGGAGAATGTGAATTATAAGATGAGGCAATCATCTCTTCCCCTGATTATAATAACAGGGTTAACTCATGTTCAATAGGCTGTACCATACCCTTGTCTGCCAAGGCTTTAGCGCGCCATCATGCTTCTTCTTATCCATCTTCTTGCGCAAACAAGATAATATGTATTTATTAAAGAAATATTCAGACAAATGAGTGCAATATATACTCCGTGAAGTAATGGAACATGATGTGGAAATGCAAGAAGAGCACACAGGGTGTGGATCAGATGCAGTAGTATAAGGCCGTAGAAGGGACCCGAGGTGCCAACCCAACCGTCCAGGTGGTAGATGGAAGAGAGAGTGACAACATGGCCGTCGGTCACATTGGACAAATGGTTGGAAAGAAGGCAAAGGGGCCCCGTTTGAGTAAGTTCTTTTACTGTTCTTGGGGACATAGTAACAGAGGTTTTCTCTCAACCTTTTGACGGAAAGTGAGATATCTTAAAGCAATAAGTACAAGTCAGGATAAGGAACAATCATGCCACTTGATTGTTGAATCTGTTAATCCTCACCTTTGATCTTTTGGTAGCATGTTTATGAGCATGACTTTTGATTGCGGATTGAAGTGTTAAGTTGCAAGAACCAGCTTCAAGACAAAAGGGTAAATTTGTACTTATTGGAGCTTTTGGGGACCCTAAAATGAGTTCAACACAAACAGGATTCGACACATCTACTTCGAGACATTTTGGTAAAAATATTGATAAATATAAGAAATCGACAGGGACTGATAGATGAGTTCGACACTACCGAGAATTTGTCTTCTCCACCGATTTCGAGACATTGCACTGTACTTGAGAAAGATTTACGGCCTACCTTTAGAATACAGCACCACAAACTTTACATATACATCATCTTACCCTTCTATGTAATTTTATGTGATTTTGTTCGAAAGCACATTCTCGAAACAATACCCCATGACGCCTGCATAGCAACATGGTTGTCTAGCTCAGCGAGTGTGTATAAGCTCAGGTCACTGGTGTTTCATCTCTACTAACTATGTCATTGCATAAGCCCAACATTGCTGAGAGTTTCCAGTAGTTGTAATACTGGCGAATGCACCATTTTTTGCAAGCACCAGTTTGGAATATGTTTCCTTAATCACTAATACGCTCATATTTATTTGTATTACGAGGTGTTGAGGTGTTATATTTTGTGTATTTTTGTATTTTTGAAATTTAGCGAGAATGCGTTACACCGGTCTATATTATATATATTCTATTATTCGCAATTTTGGTCAATGTAATTATTTAATTTATGTAAATATATTTTATATTTTAGTTTCTACGTAACTATATACGTCTAAATGATTTACCAATGTAAACTGACATGCATATATATTTTTTTCATTCAGTTATATGCACCATTACATAGAAAAGATTTTATTAGTATTTTTTTGGAAGCGGTAATAATGCATTACACTGGACACGTCAGTCATGTTCGTGCCGGTTCGGTCAATGTATTCTATTTACTAGGATTATTTCAAGGGGTTAGGGTTAGGGTTTAGGGTTTAGGGTTAGGGTTAGGGACCTAATCCAATATAGTAGGTACATGTCCGGTGTAATACGTGAGTACCATTGTCGTTTTTCCTTTTGCATTTTAATACTTTTTTTCACACAAAAACGTCGAAAGTACACTATGAAATGGTTTAATGTAGAAATTTTGGGCTAATGGAAATTGGCCTGGAATTTGCACGCAAGCCTCTTTCACACCGGACATTTGTTCAGTAATGATTATGAAGGCTAACTCAGCCTCATGCCGTCACTAGACATGTTCATGTCTCCCTCGTTCCTCAGTGCGATCCACATTATCCTTACAGCGTTCCCTGCATCACTTCTCTGTCACAAAATCACCCGATTTATGTAAAAGCGCGTCATTCATGCATGCACCGTGAAATTGACATCTGACGCCAGACGCCAACAACAATTTTCAGTTTGAGGCACATCGGCTCATTCCACGCCACACTGTATATTGTAGATTGTAGAATGGGAAGAGTGTGCCAAATGGCATCGGGTCCATTCGGCAATTGTCTGTAGATTAAAATCACGAGACACAAAGTCTACCTGTAACCTTCGTAATTGTCCGGGACCTATTCGACTCTTTCCATTCATTTCCGTGACGTCACAGGAATGACTCGATAAATTTGCACATTGTGTAACAGTGTGGATGTAGCTCCGACGGGTTCTCCCAAACTGGTTGCTTGTCTTCATGACACGTGACCTACGGCAGAGATCGGGGGATTTACCTTGAGTTCTGTATTTGAGGGTACCTGGGACTCATATTCTAAATTTTCAGGGGTCCTGGACACTTAAATATTATCATTAATACTGTTATTGTATTGTGTATCATGATCATCACCTTGCGTCCTTGTGGTTCGCTAACAAATTTCGTTGCGTCCATTGTCAATTTTTAAGACTTCCTTTGTACATAAATTGTGTTACGATTCACATCGTACATGCTTCTCCATAAAAATCATCATCACTCCCACTAGCCATAAATTAAGAACGGTCCCGTAATGTTGTGATTAGGACAGTTGATGATGTAGTCTGAGATAGCTGATTTTTTGTTTGATTCATATATGTTACATGTTGCTTCTGTGCTGTAATTACTTCACTCTTGCTTGACAACAGCATAAGAAACTATACGAAAACATTGCATCATAATATAATAAAGAAGTTACATGTTTTTTCTATAAAGTATCATAGATATCTTATTATTCCGCAAACCTTCCTATTCTGGAAATTGAAGCAAACAATGTTACTAGTTTCATCTCCCTCAAACAAATGCCAATGACTCACATGAGCTGAGCAGATTTTGATGCTGTTGGACACTAGCCTTACAGCCTATAAATTAATTCAGTTTTTCTGATTTCATTTCCATTTAAAATGCATACATCAGGGGTATCTACCCTACAGTGGGAAGTTATCAAATATCAAAACACTGTAAGTTTATGTCATTTCAACAATAATGGCAACATATCATCTCGACCTGTTTCACATCTGCAGTGTTTGGACTCATCAAGTACCACACAGGCTAAAAATAATTTGGTTCAGATCAGGCAATTTGGAAGGCCAGGGATGGCCACTGATGTTACACATTGTCATTTTGAAACAGCTCCCTCTGGTGGTAAAAACAGGAGGGGGGTGAGGTTGCAGGATTTGGTCCATGTAGCGATTTGCTGTAAGATTGCCTTGAACCACCACTAGCTCTGATCTACCTGTGTAGAATATGGCTCCCCACACCATGACGTTTTCTGCACCAAGTCTGTCCACCAGTCAAACAAAGTTTGGCGCACCAGAATGTTAAATTTACCAAGAACATGTCTTGCTTCCATCTGGTAAGTGTATAAGTCTTCCAATGATGATATGGATATTTTTTAGTTTAGGACTATTAACTTGCTTGAGGAAATCCCATCTAATACCTTGGAGTCCGGTAAGTTTGGTACTGTTTTCTCTTCAGAATAGGGAAGGAGAGGAGTGTCATGACTAAGTTACTGTAGATTGTCAAGGCCTGATCAATTATTCTCAGTGTGTCACGGTAAAATCCACAAAGGGGAATCACAGGGGTAGCATCTGAGTCAAGGAGATCAGAACTACGTGTAAGGGTTGGCATATATGGATACAAGGTCTCCTAAATATCTGTGATGGATAGATGTTCATTGTATGAGATTGTGTGAAACATTTGCCTGAAACCCTATTGGGGTACCCCTGAAGGATGTTTATCAGGTAGTAAGTCTTAAAATGTTTAATATCTGCCATAATCAATTTAGGTGGCAGTAGAAACTAAATTATGATTTGAGGAAACAATATTTGAAAGACACTTCTGGTTTTAAGATAAAAGAACTGTGTTACTTACCTATGGTTATTGTCACATCACAATTCTGTTTGAAGCGAACACCTTCACACACCATGTACAAATCGAGGGTTTGAGTTTGCGTCACTGATATGGTCACATTTTCTTCAACATCATCTAACCCGCTTGGTGTTCGAGGGAGGGTGACATTAGCATTGCCAAGTTGAAACAGTGAAGGAGATGAACAGTAATACTGCTTTATGTAAAACATGATGGTCACCTGACTACCCTCCTTCAAACTGTCCAAGTTGCTCGTGCTGTTGATGACACATGCTGATGAATTCTCTGAAGAAAAGAATGAGTGGCTTTGCACCATCTTTTCTAGAGCTATGTAAGTTTAAATATCTCTAAATATTGCGAGATCTTTTACGTTGCAACAGTTCACGTAGTCATAGTTTAGGTTCATGGATTAAAAATACGGGAAAAAAACACACCACATTGAAAGCATGACTGATGTGTGATTGCCTGAAGAAAGTAAATATGCTTCTTATGTCATGCTGTTGAAAATAACAACATATTTCGTCATTCCTCTCATCAATGTGCAAAACCCATACTTCTCAAAAGGAGTGAGACTCTGGTACAGCAACTCCATTAGCAGTGTCATTATTGGGTGTGACCATCATTTGTGTTGATACAGATGATGCATCATACATGTATGCAAATCATGACCCAAATACAACAAATATTTGGCCATAGGAGCCTTGCCAATTTACACTTGTCACAAAGTATGTGATCTAGACTACCAGTTGTCCAACTTCCATTCTTTTTTGGAAGTTGTGGGGCCTAGAGTTGGGAATTGGTTTGAATCTCACAATGAATAATTGGTTCATTACCAGTGAGCGATCATTGAAAAAATTTGTTAGGTTTTTCAGATTATCAGAATCAGACTGTTATTGCAGATAAGTATAACCTGGTTCTCTGTTGAATTTTTCGTTTTATTTAGAAACTTGCAAAGTCAAATATCAAGGTCAAATTTCACATCCAATGTAAAATGATGCAACTTGTTACTTTCAAGTGATGAAGTCATGAAGTATCAGAAACATGCATTCATGACTTTTCAGTTAGTGAAGTGAGTTTTCTAAGAATTAAACATGTTTTAAGGCCCTGAGAAGTTCTAAGATATGTTCCATGGTCAAGTGTTTCAAACACTAAAAGAGTGGTTCCAAATCGTTTGTGTTCAATTTTGTGAAAATGTGACCGATTGCCTAGTCGTCTGGCCACTGCAATAAATCTTCAATTATTTCAATTAATCGGAACATCACTAGTGGTGGCTGAGTGTTTGGTACGCTGACTGACTTTGTGTGCTGGTGATTAGCTGCCTGACCATGAAAGTGTGGGTTCTAATCCCACATGAAACTCAACATTACAAAAGTACAAGTATCTGTACTTTACTGAGAAAGTGCAATCCCAAATGTAACATATACTGAGAGAAAGAAATAAAGGATCACAGGAAAATGCAAGTGTTCCTTTATTTTTTTCCGGTTTTCATCACCACAGCGCTATTCAAAGCTGGTGATGAAAACTGGAAAATATTAAAGGAACACTTGCATTTTCCTGTGATCCTTTATTTCTTTCTCTCGGTATATATTGGTTATTCTGAAAGTAGTGATGTAGACCCTCAATAATCTTTCATAACCTAGAGAGATAGATCTTTTTCAAATATGAAAAGTAATTATTAAGGACTGAATACTGAATGATGACTTAAGTAGTATAGGGAATGGGGCTACGACATTGCCTAGGTACACCATGCCTAGGAGCCTCCAAACGGCCAATTTGACTCCAGCAGCCACTAAAAGTAGTAGGGTTTTGAGCAAACTAGTCCGGAAGACATAAAATGGTCCAACACTTTATACTGGTTGAAGTGCACTCCAATTAGAGATACCTGGGTGTATGGATATAGAACAATGCCAGGAACCAAGCTATCTCGCCAAGCCTGTGCCGAGATCTGATCGGGTTGTTTGTGCCTTCTGGAGGCACAGAGGAAGTACCACATATTGCAAGCCAGATATCGCGAATCCGAGGTATGGCAGAGGTCTTCGAGACCCTGCTAGAGAAGTGTTCCCATGTCTTGCTTTCTGACAAAGAGAAACAAATCATGCAGCGATAAGGACACACCTTCTATGAGCGAGCTCTAGAACTCTATTTGCTGTGCTTTCGCCAATTCGTAGAAGAGGGCACAATAGTCAATTTTGTCTACCTCTACCTGCCCAACCAATTTCGACCTGCAGCAGGCAAACTCAGAATCGTTCTCGCCGACTAGTTGCACAAAACTCTACTACTTTTAGTGGCTGCTGGAGTCGAATTGGCCGTTTTGAGGCTCCTAGGCATGGTGTACCTAGGCGATGTCGCAGCCCCATTCCCTATACTACTACTTATGAAGAACACTCACACTAATAGTCTATCTGATTACTGTAAATGATATAAGGACTTACTCATAACAATAAGGGTTCCTCTAGATGGTTGTCCATCTGCACCATCTCTACATATCCACGAACCAGCATCCAAAAATGTAGTGTTTGCTATCTCCAACACATTTCTTGTGGTAGTGGCTACAGGATTACTGTATCCTGAATTTGGCAGACAATTTGTAGCACCTGCACATGTAGATACCAAAAAAGCATCAGGCCTGATCCACCGAACACCAGTTTTCAATGTCCCAGCTATGTCACAGGAAATTCTCTGTGTACTGTACAGTTCCACATGTTGTGGTAAAGAGGAATCTATGGTTGTGACAGCCTGCCCTGTAAAATATAGACATTGATCAAATAATGATTAGATCGTGTATACGAGATTGATATTAAGGGAGTCATCATTTCATTAAGGTTTTCTTATACAGTATTTAAATCTAGGAACCCCCTCAACAAGAAGACAAAGTCATCAATATCCCTATAAGGGCATAATACTATACTCTTCATGAATATGCCAACTAATTTGTTCTTGAATACCCACAAAGTGGAAGGAGAATATTGGTAGGTTTCAAAACCAGCTGCAGATCTGTGTCAAGTTAGGTGAAGCAACAATGAAGGTTTTAATGGAAAAGAGCTATAACCAGGATATTTAGAGTTGAAAACATTATATACATTTTATAAATATTTAAGGAAAATTTGAAGTCAAGTTAAGAAGGGTGAATGTTCTGGGAAAGTGCATTAACCAAGCTAACCAAACTCTTATTGATTCACTTTTCTTGAGGAATAACAATTTCTCTGAATTGACATAAATGAGGGTGAAACGTTCAAACTGGTGTTTCTACACAATTGGGTGGATGGACATTTGGGATACAGATGGTCAGTTTGGTCAGTTTGTCAATAAAGGGGCACGCATAGGATCTGAAATGATTTGATGAAGTATGTTTTGGCGCCTACCAGTCTGAGATATTAGTTAGATATGTCATGGTTTGGTTGATGTATGGCTTAAGCATAACTAGCAATGTCATTTTATCACTGGAAGAAATTGATGGTACCAAATAAAGTCTCTGAAAGGGACTAATGAAAGTAACTAATTATTAAGATTGGATACGAGTCATTTTTGTAGGAGGTAGGATATCATTTCGGGGGGAGGAGTCTAAAATTGTCAAAGAAGACTTTTCCCACATTTCGGGGGGAACCAAGGGGACTCTGAGCCCCACCGTTGACTTGAGAGGTTCTCTCTGTATATTGAGAGAATGGCTCAGATGAAATTGTAACTTTAGGAGTTGTGCAAGAAACCAACAAGTTCTTCCAGGAGATTTGTGAATCAGTGTTGCATGTAAACCAGGAAAGCTAGGAAATATCGGAGGACCTTTGTGAAAGAATTCATGTCAAGATAAATGGACTTGAACACCATACCGGACTTATCTTTGACTATCCATCTTAGCTACATCATCCCCAGAACCAGAATGGCTAGACAGATTGCCTAGGGAGAAAGGGTATAACACCCAGAAACACCTCAGGTAACAGAGCACTACCACCAATTTCAGTCTAGGTCAAACTTGATGCGACGGAGTTGCAAAATAATATTTTATTCAGAAATCCAACACTACCAAAAGTTCACCACAAGAACTATCTATGTGCCAAGTTTGGTGAAGAAATATTTAAAGGTCACATGCAACCAAAAAATCAAACATAATTAAAACACAATTATCACTTATTCATGACATATAATATACATTGCTGGTTACGAAAAAATATATAAACAAAATTATAAGCGTACAATCGCAGATCGAAAGTGCAAAATTGTGTACTTCGGTTTACTTCCCAAGAAACGAAGCAGCCGGGATACCGAACCCAGTCAGAGCGGGTAGGTGTGCACTCAAGTGTAACGGCTGGTTCATTTGCAGATGCCTTCACGGCTAGTTGTGTGTATATATATAGAGAGATGTTGGGTTTTGTAAATACATGCTCATTTTTTGTGTATAACATTTTGCAATCAACAGACATCATAACATGTCATGTGTTCAAGTATCACACCTGCCTGTCTGTGTAATTACATAATGTGACAGAGACCGAACTCGGGCCATAAATCAATGCATTTTGTTTATGGTGTATAGCCTGATTGGTGTTAAGTTCAAATTGCATGTGGTCAGTGATATCAGCTGTGTATTGAATACTGTCATTAGCAGACAGGCAGGCAGACACACAGGTGTCAATAAAACAAGACATTGAGTTTTGTCTGTGACAACGACATATCTATATCACAGTTAGAAATTCTGTCAATGCTAAATAATGACATTGCTTTTAAGTATCGAACTGAGAAAGTGTCTCGGTAAGAAGAACGTGTGGTGAAATAGACAAATGAAATTATATAAACAGTTAATTTACTGTCATAACACATTAAAAGCTCGCACCTGTGAGATATCAACAAAACATTAGAAAAATAGCTCACAAAGCCTTCACCGAGTATTCACCAGACAACCCGCTTCCAAGCTGCGCGAACCTATTTACTTGCGCACGTGCTATGAGCGCAGCCCAGCTGTTGAAACCCGTTTTCCCCAGAAAAGTCTGGGGAAAATTAGTGAAACGTTTGAACTCTGATTTCGCTCTTTTTTTTCATCGCGTTATTTTTCAACTTTATAAGTTGAATTTGCATTTTTGACGATTTGTTTCGGTACGTCCATACCGAAAGGTATCAGAATCTGCAAAGTTGTGTTTTACGTTGCATGTGACCTTTAAGGTTTTTTATGTTCTGGTCTGGAAAAGCGAATGTGCATTGACAGACAGACAGACGTACGGACGGAACCATTTAAATACCCACCGCAAAACATGTTGAGGGGTCAAAAAAATATTTTCTTAAGGACTGGTCTTTTATCATAAGAGTGGGTGTGCTGCTTGGAACTGTATCACATTTTGCTAATAAATAAAATTGCTGATAAATCATATTGTCCACTTTTATTTTGATATCGGTGCCTCCATTTTGCTTGATTCTTCTTCATCTTCACTTGAAGTTTCTCTTGCAAGATGTAAAAGCGGCTCTTATTAATACGGTGTAACGTCCATGTGAAAGATCACACCAGGAACATCTTTTACTGCTTCAGAATCCTTGGTCACAGACACATTGTCAAGTAAAATCAAAGAGGAAGCCATCAGCAATAGGCACACATGACGTCATGTCATGTGAAACCTGCTTCTGCTCATTAACTGTCAGTTCCATAACAGGCGGAAATACGGGTGGATTTATTGCGATTTTAGAAACTATTTGTTCAATGATAATGATGGAAGGTGACTTTAAGAATGCTTTTACAGCTTTGAGTGAGTGAGTGAGTTTAGTTTTACGCCACACTCAGCAATATTCCAGCTATATGGCAACAGTCTGTAGATAATCGAGTCTGGACCAGACAATCCAGGGATCAACAGCGATTATCGATCTAAGCGATTGGGATACGATGACATGTGCCAACCGAGTCAGCGAGCCTGACCACCCAATCCCATTAGTTGGCTCTAACAACAAGTATGGGTTTACTGAAGATCAATTCTAACCCGGATCTTCACGGGTCTTTACACCTATGAAAAAATACAACTTTTGTGATAGTATTATCCTATAATTAAGTATCTGCTTGCCATAAAGTCAGTTCACCCCACTGTCTAGAACAAAAACTGACCCATGTAATAAACACATTCCCAGCTGTTCACTGGGATGTACAAAACATTCTACTGTGTTGAAAGTATGCATGATGTTGTCTTAATTTCACGAGCATCAACAAAAACTGGCTCTGTAGACATGACATCAACTGTCCAAGTGATTAACAGCTAGTCCAAGACTAGCAAACCAGTGTAAAAATGTGGAGAGGTTCATTGTTAGACTGCAGTTTTTGAATACACATGGCACATGGTCAGTTGCAGTTTGAGTATTTGAGTATTATCTACACCATGAATATCACCACGGGTACACCTGTTAACCATTTCAACATTCTCGTTTATCACATTAGGGATACAAGTACCATCTGTTTTGTATTTTGCCAAATAAGCAAATAAAGGCATTAATGGTTGATTGAAGCATGTCAATTTCTGTGCAGGGATGTAGCTGTGTCTGTCTGTGCAGACCAAGCGAAATTACTTGGTACAGCATCCTTCTTCAAACAGCGATTTCTTCTATTCATAAATGTGTCAAAATTGAAAAAAAAAATTAATGCTAATTCCTGATTATTTTAATTGAAAATTTTAACTATAACTTGTATATTCATAACACTTCTCCTATCTCACATCTTGCACTCTCTCTCTTATGATCAGCAGAAGAGTGGAAACGAACTGTAAACAAAGTTTTGGGCCTCTCTTGAACCTCTCTGCACCCCACTGCTCCCATTCCTGGACAGCCTGGCAGCCTCTGAAAAGCGTGCAGCATGTCCTTTCGGTCAGTCATGTGACCCCTTTGTGTATTCATTCTCATCTTGGAGCAATGTCATAATCTATATAACGGTGTTGGTTGGGCTGGAATCCACCGTGCAAGATAGGATAAGTATAATAGATATACCATTCATAGTTAAAATTTTCAAATTTTTAAACTTTTCCTATCTCACATCTTGTACTTATCCCACAGTTGGACGGTGGGCTGCAGATTACCCTGTGTCTGAGTGGATGACAACCATGGTGATGTGATGATGAAACACAAGGAGGCCTGTTTTGAGCACAATCTCCTGATTGTACAACTCCAATACTTCTGGGTTACTTCTTCCAAAACCCCTTTGCTTACTCAGCACAAAAACTCCCATGGAGTGGGCGCTCCTGAGTAAATGTGGTTTAACGCCATACATTTGTCTGAAGACAAATGCAAAGCTCAGCACGTAAACCATGTCTTGCCCCTGTTTCCAGAAAGCCCCAGTAAATTAAAGTCTTATGACTTTAATCTGGCCAGCCCCTGCTTTGAAACCATCCCCACAGTCACTATGCTGATGAAAAGGAAAACAGCTCAGTTAGCTCAACTGTTGTAACGTTCAGTTCCGAATGACATCAAATGACCCTCGTTCCTTTGCTTAAGCTTAGTCAAGGATGTGTCCGGCAACTTAGGAGCGGAACGCATCGACATCCACTGGAATTCGATATTCATACTTCAGTGACATAATTGCTCAAACAGTAGAGATCACTAAGCAAGAGTGTCAATCGATCTGCATTGTAGTACAAGACTGGCCTCTCAGTCTATGACGAAGTCACTCAGCGGTGACTGTACTTCAATGCCCAAGTGTAGAACCAGGTGAAGTAGATCTAATGCCCAAAGGAAAGTAGAACGTAGTTGACTGATGGAGTTCCATACATCTTGATTCAATTTATACAAG